ATACAAAATTGATTATTTTGTATTCCGATTATAGAGTTCTACGATATTGTATCCCATTTTATTAGACAGACCTTGGCTTTATCAAGCCAAAGCTAAGAACGATTGGGACCGAGGTACATTAACAATTGAAAAAGGCCATGACCAGATTATTTTACAGATGTATCCGATACAATATCATGGAGAATCTCAATTGCCAGAATCAAAATTTACATCAGACAACGAGAGTCAAACAATTGAAGAAGATGCCGATACTATAGGTTCACCGCAATTTAAGGTAGGACAAAACACTTCAACAACAAAGGCAGGAGTCTACCAATGTGGAAGTCCCGATGAATATTTACTACATCAAGAGGATGCGACTAACTCGGATCATGCTATTGCCGAATCGATGAACAATTCTGCAGTTAATAGAATCAGCACATTGGAACCAGATTTGGGTGGTTCTCATATGTCGGATAATACAAGATATTCAGATCAAGATAAGATAATTAAATCAGAGGTTGTTGAAGATCCTATGTGTCAATCTATTAACTTGGGCACCAACGAAATGCCACAGCTAATTAAAATATATGTCGGTATTATCGGTATAGAATTGGATGCTTGAAAACAGTTTTTCGTCCATCACAAATCTGCCTTTGCATAGTTGTATGTGGATTTGAAAGGGATTCCAGTTGACAGGTGTGAGTACCAGATTATTTTGGAAGAGGGTGTTACGCCAGTTCGTCAAAGACAACATCGGCTTAACCCAAAATATTTCTTTTTAGTGAAAGAAGAATTGGATAAATTTCTCGACGTGGATTTTATTTATCCTGTTCCGCATAGTGCATGGATGTCGCTAATCGTGATGGTACCGAAGAAGAATGGGAAAATCAAGACATGTCACGATTTTTGAAAACTTAATGTGGCCACCAAGAAAGATTACTTCTCATTACCTTTCATGGACAGTATGGGTAACATGTTGTCATTATCACTAAATAGTAAAAGAATAGGAGTGGGGCACCAGTTAAAGTCATTCTGTGGTATTGTTTTGGGTTGGTTGGAGTGCCATTTTCTTGTATTTCTTGTGTTTTCGAGAGTAGTAGTTCCAGTTAAGAGTTAACAGTGAGGAGCCGGTCACAAGTATCGATTGAAGATATTCCAAAATGGATGAATCAACAGCAACAACAATTGGAAGCTCAAGTCCGTGAATTGCGCGAGTACGATGAAGACCTTTCAGCTCAGTTGAAGCAAGAGCCGATGGAAGGATTGGAAGAGGACAAAGATTTGCAGTTGGAACCAGAATTGGTGGAACCAGAATTGGTGGAACCAATAACAGATACTGCAGCAATTAATTAATTAGATAGGCCAGAGGGATCACAATTTTTGCAGAGTTTTGTTAGATAATTTTTAGATAGGTATTAATTGAGTGTTTGCGAGGACATTGCACAGATAGAAGTGGAGCTATGTAGAATAGATATTAATTCATTTTTGAAAGATATTAATAAAATATATTAATAGTCCATATAATAGGAAATTCAGAAAGATGGATGAGTGATTTAGTTATTAAAAGTAGTTAATTATAGAATTACAGTTAGAATCTAGAAAATTAGAAGAAAGTATATAGGAGTTATAGAAGTTAATTAGGGTGACAGACTGTGAAAGTCGTAAGCCGAGGGCCATCGCTGTGATAGTGTGAGCCGGGATAAGCTTGGTGCTACCTCTTTTCTTTTGTTTGTTATTTTCTTTGAAAAAGAGGATTGAGAATTTTTGAATATTATGAAGTGAATTATGGAATGGAAATGTAATTGGTATTATTTGAGAAGAAGAAAGATTGAATGCTGAAATCTGATTGTAGTTTAGCAGAGAGAATGAGTCTGTGTTTGAGTGAAACACTGTAATGTAAATGGCAGTTCTGTGTGAAGAATTCCAGTGATTGGAACGAGGGTAATTGTGTGCTGAAAGCTGTGAGGGCGCAGTATTATAGTTGGAGATTATGATGGTGAATATATTGGTGGAAATAGCAATTATTGGTATGACTGAATTGCTGTGAAGAAGAGACTGATAAGGTGAAGGAGGAGATTATAGTTTCCTTGTGTATTCAGATATTGAAAATAGAAATGATACATTCAGGAGGTAATTGATTGTGTGATCCTAACGTGAACGCTTAAGCAACTAGTCATTTCTCGTGTTCAAATCCCCCTATACAGGTTTATGCTGGGAGATTTCTTTCGGAATAAGTAAAACGAGCAATCACAAAAGTATTGAGAAGTATAAAGCAAGGCTAGTTTTAAGAGGTTTCATTGAAATTCAAGGTATTGATTATACAAAGATATATTCTTTTGTAGTCAAACTTAACTCCATCACAGTATTTCTTGCTTTAGTTCCTTAATATTATTTGGAAGTATATCAATTAGATGTTAAAACGGTATTTTTAAATGATTTTATAGAAGAAAACATCTTTATAACTATTCTTAAATGATTATCTCCTATACATACTAATAAGGTATGTAACTTAAATAAATCCCTATATGATCTTAAACAATCCTCTAGAGCATGGTATCAACAATTAGATCAATACTCACTTCTTCACAAATATCAACATCTACAATCAAATACAAATATATACATTAAAAGAAATAATGATCAAGATTTTATCATAATTATTGTCTATATTGATGAATGTATCATTCTCAAAAATAAGATTTTTTTTTATAGCAAATACAAGATATTCTACAACAAGAATTTGACATGTCAAATGAAAGAAAAATCCATTACTTTCTATGCAATGCCATCATAGAGAAGAAAGATGGATAATCCTCCATCAAACAAAATATTTAAGAAATAAATTTAATAAATTCAATATATTAAATTCCAACCCCTTAAGTATTCTAATTTAACTAGGAATTTGATTAAGTAATGAAAACCATATAACTTCATAAGATTATCCATATTCTCAAGTTGTTGGCAATTTAATACATGACATTGTTAATTCTAAATTAGATTAAACTTATATTATTAGTATTTTAGTACAATATCTTTCTAAACTAAGATCTATATACATTCAAACTTTGAAAAGAACTATAAAATATATAAAAGATACATTAAATTTTGGAATAAAATATTAACACTTATTTCAAGGTAATATTCTACATATTTATTCTCATGTTGAATGGGCACGTGATAAGGATATCCATTACTCCACCTCTGAATTTTCCTTCTTACTAGCTAGAGGAGTTATCTCTTGAAGCAATAAAAATCAACAATTTGTTTCTTTATCATCCACAAAATCAAAATATATAGCTTTAACAAAAGCAATACATGAAGCCATATGGTTGAAAATATTATTACATTAATTTGGAATTCTTCAATATGAACCCACCATTATATATTCAAATAGTCAAAGTACCATTACTCTTAGTAAAAATTCCAAATATCAGTCTAGAAGCAAACATGTGGACACACAATACTATTTTACCAAAGAGAAGATCCTTGTTAAAGAAATCAAACTACAATATGTGCCAACCATACATATGATAGCAAATGTATTTATAAAATTTCTTTTTTAAGAAAAATATTTCTAATGCATACCTCAATTAGGCATGTATCAACTTTCTCTAAATATAAAATAAGCCAATTGTTGTACAATCATTCAAGCTTTGTTAGTCTACTCAAAACAAAAAGACCTCATACAACTTCTATATTTTGATAGATCATGGTGTGGAAGTCAATTTAGTAAGATAACTTACTCCAAATCCATGAAATATCAAAATAAAAATCTATCTATCCAATCTGCCAAGGAAAAAGCAAGGACTCTTATTAGTGAATTACAGAGCTTATCATTGAGGCGATTGTATATGCAACTGATTTTGCATGAATACCTACTTAGGAGTCTATTGTTGTGCCTACATTTGCAGTGCCTCCTTCAACAGAAGTAATGTCTTTTTTAACAATAAAACTTCAAAATAATAATATATATATATATATATATATATATATATATGAACATCAAAGAAGAAATAACAAACACAAATCAAGAAATCAAATACCTTCTCAAAATTGAAGAAGCAATAGGAGAACTACTAGAAAGCTCTTCGACATTCCAATATCAAAAAGAGATTGAAATCCTATATTTTTTTACCCATATCCATGTCAAAATGGATGAACTTGTGCTATGAATGAAATTTATTTTGAGGATGAAGATTAATATCTTAATGAGAATATCAAGAGAATTATTTTGTATAGTACATTAGTCTCCTATATAGAATAATATCTACTAAATATTAACCTTATACCAAGAGTTGTGACTCTTGGTATCACTCTTGTACATACAATATATTGTATAATATTGATCATATTAATAGATGATAATATGTTCAATAATTGCTAAATATGACACTTTGTTGGAAGACAAATTAAAAGATTTCGAGTTTGCCATCAAACCATTGGTTTCACGAAGAGTTCTATTGAGGATGCACAACAATAGCGAAAAAAAACACCTTGAGATATTATTTTGATATATTTTGATACATTTTGAAATATAAACAAACATCCAAATCCAAACAACCAACAATTCAAATACTTAAAAATACCAATTTGCATCTCTAACAAAAAATGAGGAGAAAAAAAACAACCTACAAACTTTGAGCTTTGAAAATCATAAATAGGTTTATAGCACAACCACAAGTAAAAACCCATACCAACCACTTCGCATTCCTTGAGTTATGAAGGTTCCATCACACTAACCAATCAAAATTAATTTTTGTCTCTTTACCTATGTTGCCTTATATAATAGATATAAACATAAATTTATAGAAAAATATAATATAGTAAGAGTTGCAAATCATAAGGATTATTGAGGTTTACTAAAGAATATTAGCTATACGAAATCCCAACACTACTTTGTACAAAAAGCAAAAAACAATAATAAGAAAAAGAAGGAGAGAAGGGGTTCGTAGGTGCAGAGGCGGAGATCTCGATGATGGCACATTTTTTTTCCAATTCAAATTTCAAACCCAGCAGCGCCGAACGAGCCTGTTGCGTATGCTGTCTGCTTCTTCATTATCATCGACACTGTGTAGAAGAAAAATTTGCCCCCCATTCTCCCACAAATTACGAATCGGCAGCTTGTTCAATGGCATCATCCGCTCTTGCTCGACCTCAGTCGCAGTGCCTGCAATGCCACCACCCCATTCCAGAATGACTACTTGCTCATTCTGATGTTGCTGCTGCTGGAGTTGTTGTTGATGCTGATGATGCTCAGTTAGGGTGGACTCTTTAGCTTGCTGCTGCTGCTCGGAGCTCAATTTGCGGTCATTCGATCACATTGGCGACAGTCGAGGTTAGTGGATGAATCTCCACACGGCTGGTTGTCGCAAATCTGAGTTGGGTTTTGTTATGGAGGTCATCAAGGCTGAGAATTTGTGTTTATTTATTGATTTTTTTGTTCACGTGAATTGCTCGTGAATTCGAGTATGCTGTTTGATGGGGCATGGTGAATGTGGTGATCTCATTGAATGTGTTAAGTGAGACGTGGAGTGGGTGTGATCTTCTGAAGATGTACAATGCAGTGGGTTTAGCGGCTATGAATTGCCGACTGCGAGGAGTAGTTTTCGCACCCGTAAAGAGTTTTTTTTTTTTTTTTTTTTTTTTTTTTTTTTTTGGATTCGAACTAGTTGAGATCTAGGACTGATTGGAGAGTTTTGATAGGCAGAGATATTAGGGTGGTAGAAGTGGTTCTACGAGAGGTTCTGGCTCTGTTTTTTATGAGCATTCTGGAGGTGAAGAATTTAGGGTTTAGTGTATAGGTTTTAGTGTTTTCCTTTGATACTGGTTAGACAGTAAGCAATCTCCTTTCGAGAACAGTTTAATGCCGTATACCTTGGGAAGTTACTCAGATGTTTTGGATCTGTGTCTATGCCCTAATCGCAACTGCGACAAGATTGATCAATTAATCGGTTGAAGAGGTGTCCTAAAGGGTTTGTGCTTTCATAATCAGCGCCATTTGCAGCGTTAGAATATTTTTTGTTACAGTTCCCTCAATGGCTTGAAATCGTGGATCGATTGGTAAATGTGTCTTCCAAAGGCATCACCACACCGTATTTTCACTGTATGTTAATAATTAGTAGTTTGGATTTCTCTGTTAATTTCGACCGAAGGTATGGTTGTGTAGCCACTTACTGTTGCATTTTGAATTATGATTTCTTCCGTAATCTGAGTCGTTTACTTTCATGACCTTAACAAGATTTAGGGTTCACATCTTATGTAGTCATCGGGTGTTGATGGCAGGGTTGAGAAGAATTGCTACCTCGGGAATCAAAGCCGAAACCGTTAGGACATCATGATTACTCGTTCGCCTGTTCAAAGAAGGCGGTTCCCGTCCAGCTCTGGTATTTAGGGATAGGAATCAGACCAGTTTTTCCGAATTCTGGTGCTTGGTTTTGTATTTATTTGATTCCACCATTGGACCGAAGGGCTTAGTTGCAAGGGATAAATGCTGGAGTAGGCATTTTTCAAATGAGCGGAGTCTGTATGCACTGACACTCTTAACTGAGAAACAGTTGGAATACTGTTGATGCAGCACTGCTTGATTTCGACAGTTTCAGGATTTTTTGTTGGATTTTTTGTGAAGTACTGTGATCATGCTTATAGAGTTCTTTGTATACGTTGGCTAAGTACTTGCTATTGTCATGTCCCTTCCATTGGCCTTCTCGCAGGCCTTCTTGAGCCTGGGTCTCCTGCCATGGATCAATTACAGCGACCATCTCCAACTAAGAGACCAAGAGCACCCCCGGATCATGTCGATGACGATGACTTTCTCTCCCGTAGAGCTCTCGAGGTGTACAATGGCGCTCAGAGATCTGGAAGTCATCGGATGATTGCTTTCACAACTCGACCTGAAACCGATCTTGGGCCGGGGGAGTTCGATGATCTTGTTGAACACTTTGGTCCTGGGTCTAGCTATACTCTTGATTGTGACGATCATGATCATCTGAACGATTCCAGTCGGTGCACCTACAAGTGCCGCAGTATGGTAAGGGCAGATTCCCAGTTCATTCTATATTACTCATTATGGACGGGTCTTATTTTTTTTATTCGGAAGCTTGTTTCGCTCCTTTGTATGTGTTCTGATAGCTGACGAACTAGTGCCTTGCATGAACATGCTATTGTGTAGCTGATAGTAGTCAAATCTTGACTGAAGCTTTACGCAATGATTCTAGAGTTCTGCACAAAGATGGAAATATTAGAGTCAAATAGAATTTTGTTCATGAGATGCACTTATTCTTTGCCCAAGAAAGCATTTTGCTCCCGTGCTAGTGCGGATTGAATCGAACACTGTTGCTGACCCAGCCAGGTGCCTAAATAGGTGAAATCAGAGGTATTAGAGAACCTGGAGAAGAGAGAAAAGCAAGTGTTTGATCTTCAGAGTTCTGTCGATTCTCTCAGAAGCAAGCTTTCGTTAACAGGTATGTGATTGATCTGGCTACTGGAAACGCTGTAAGCTTAGAATGTGAAATATAAAACTTGTGGTTTTACCCGTGAATTATATTTTATACATTTCAATAACGGTATCGTGACTTGACAGGCTCTACCTTATATCATTGATACTTGCCTTTGTGGATGCCAGAGGACAGTGAGAAGCGCTTGGTACAAAGCAAAAAATCATTGGAGCAAGTCGTTGCTGCTTCAAGTGGTCGAGAGGCATCCATGCACGCCCAACGACTGCAAGAAAGTGCTAAATCTGATGAGATGCTTCGCACGCAGCTCAAGCGCTGTCACGAACTTCAGGTATGATAGTTCTTTGTGATTTTATTTTTTTATTTTTATTTTCATTTTCATTTTTATTTTTTTGCTCATATGCGATATGTAATTTTTTTTCATTTACGTTATCTAATTCCCTTTAATATTATCAATCTTGGTTTTTTTCATTCTTGTCATCTCCTATCATTCTTTTTTTTGAAATTTTTTGTCCCTGCAACTGCTTGATAACATGATAAAGATGCATTTAGTAAGATCTTGCAGCTTTATAAATTTTGTGGCTTTTCCCTGGCATGAATTCATGTAGATGCTACTTGTCTTTCTAACTTTTTAGTACGTCATGCAGGCTCGGCTTCAAGAAGAGATGCAGCTCAAGGCTGAGGCAGAGGCCAAAGCTCTGGCTGCAGAAGCACGGGCATTAGAAGCAGAGCAAGAGAAACTCATAAATAAGGAAAACTCAACTAGAGAGATCAACCAGCTCAGTCGCGAACTGGCTAGGTTGAGAAGGGACAGTGACTATTCCTTGAAACGACTCAGAGTAGAGGTGAGTGTCTACATCACTTCTGTTACTTTTTTTCAACGCTCAAGTACCACAGATTGAAAATACTCGTGTATCCTGTAATGTGACCAGTACCCTAAAATATACTCCTATTCATCTCTTGAAGGATTCCTGATGGAGGCTGCAGTTGTCTTGATCTCGGATTCATTTTCTTCTAGTTGAGGTGCATTTCTTGTTCTCCACAGAATGAAACGCAAATGGAGCAGACTCAATTGGTTGCTGAGGAAATTGATACCTTGATGACACAACTCGATGAGGAGAAGAAACTGCTTGCTCAGGTTCGCACCATTTATTTTCTGATGTTTAGTACGAGCACCTGGTGTCGATCGTGTGTTGTTTTCATGCTTATTGTAAAATTTGTTCTGATGTGAGATAATGGATACGCTTCTCTGTGCAATTCTTGGGTAGAGTGGTAACAGCTGTACTTTGCAGACAGTAGAAGAAAAACAGGAGTTGGAACACAAGCTTGCAGATGCCATGAAGCAGCTTGCTACACGGACAACTACGGGATCTGAGGCGGATACGGTTATCAAGCATCTTCAAGACGAACTCAACAAATCCGTAAGTGATCAACAATATTAAATAATTATAACGCATGCTGTGATGAATATATTTAGATATTTTTATTCTTTTATTCTTTTTGATGCAGAACGAGGAAATGTGTTTTTACATAAATTCAGAATCGCCTTGTGACGTGTGTTTTTCATTGTTTCCACATTTGTAGCAAGTGGAGAATATGATTGATCATGGTTGATAAGTAATAGTGAATAAATTGCTAACCTGATTCGTTTCTTGATCACTCAGTCTGCAGACGTGGCTGAGGCAAGGAAGCTGAAGCAGATGCATGTGAATGTTGCCCTGTTAAAGGAGCAGCTACACAGTGAGCAACTGCGCGCAAACAGGGCAGAGGCAGGTCTTACAGATCTAGTTAATCTTCAATCCAGGGTGAATGTATTAGAATCAGAACTTGAGCGTTGGTCTGACATGATAGAAGTTATTCCAGGAGCACAGACTCGTGATGATGTTCCCCGTTGCATTGCGGAACTTCAAAGGTGATTTTATTTTTTATTTTTTTCCTTAATATATTCTAGTCTTCTTAGTAACGCTTCCATCCTACATGTTACTCTCGTCTTGTGCTTTTACATTTTCCACTCTTTCCACTTCATTGCCTTGAACTTGAGAGAACTGATGAAACGAACGTTTATGGCCCATGATTTTCCTGCCTGTTTAATGAAGTACGGGTGCTCTTTAGCGGATAGCTGATGAACTAACAGGAGTATCTACATTCTCAGGGCGGCTGTGGCTGCAACTGCCAAAACAGGAGACGCCACTTCTCAAATATCAGAGCTTAAAATAGCTGTCGAAAGAGCCGAGAGGTCTAAGTTACTTGCTGAAGCGAGGGCATCGACTCTACAGGAAGAGGTTGCAGATGCCATGATGAATGCTGCAAGACTTGAGCGTAAGGTATCAAGCTTTCAATGTTCTGAGAGTTGCAACAGTCCTCTTCAGTACAGATCATCATCTTGTGATTATACTTGAATCATTAAAGGCAACAAGAACCGTCCTTAGCGTCAAGATGTTCGCATTTTCTATACTGGTATAGGGTGTTTGTGTGGGAACTCATTCAATCGTGTATTGTTCAACTCCCATTTATTACCATATGGACTGAAACTAGCTATAAATCATTTTCTTATCATGACCATACATTTTAGGAGAAATCTAGAACATGTAAGATTGACCTCATTTCTTTTTCACGTAATGACTTGTGTGCAGATCGCCATGCTAAGCTCTGAGAGGGACGGGTTGAAGAGAATACTAGAGTCTTATGATAGCGAAGAGGCGGTTATTGCCAGTCACAGGAAGCCTGGTGACAAAATTGCAAATCTTTCAACTCCTGAAAAATCGAAGGACAATCGCATTCAGGTTAAAACGTACCCATGGTTGCTCTTTTGTGTCATACTTCAAGTGTCTGCTGAAGCAATCAAGTCTTAGTCATTTCATGTATACGTTGCTTCGAGTGCGTCTTGTCCTAAATTTATCCTAAATGATGCTTTAAGCTCATGTATGTATTATTTGTAAATAAAAGTAACAGTTCAGATGAACTTGGTCTAATCGGTATACATGGTATGGCCTATTGCAGGAACTTTCGTCAGCATTGAATGATGCTCAACAGAACATAACTCAACTGGATGATGCGCTTTCGCAAAGCAATAACACTGCCGCAGAGCAACGGCAGAAGATTGAGAGCCTCACTGAAGAACTCAATGATGCGATTGAAAAAATTAATTCCTTGAACCGAGAAGGTGAACGCCTTCGAAAAGAAGTGGCAGGCTTAGAACTGAAGGTATGAATGCTTGCGCCTCTAATAGATCCAGATTTCATGTATTATTTGTTGGGCTTTTAAAAGAGCGGCAAATGTGTTTTCATCATCGCCAAAGCTGATCATATCATGGCAAATTATGGCCCTGCCCGCAACCTTGGTCTTATTGCTTCATTCCTTGAGGTTACTCGAGTCTATTTCACTTAAACCTCACGAGTTACAATATAGTGGTCATTTCCTAATTAATGTTGGTCATTTAGCTACCTGTTATATCTGTAAGGAAGCACTTATAGTACTTCACCTAATCATAACGTGTTTGCTCCAGGGATTTTCAGCTTGAATTGTAGGTTTCTTCACACTGTAGATAATGTTTCTAGTGTAGAATCGGAACATTTCTTGATAACAGTAGAATAAGTAGATTCACATTAAGATGGTTAACATTCATTTTCCAAGTTTTCTTGATGATTGACTTATGTCTTAGCATTTACTTTAACCTTACAGTTGGGAAGGGGTGAATTCAACCGAGCAACGACAAAAGTTCTCCACCTTGTCAAGAATCTTGAATCAGGTATAGCTCTTGAAGTTTCAGCTTTGAATTTGCTTACTGTTTGTATGTATTCCTTGTTACGTAGATAAGTTTGTAAGCAACTGGTTATCAAATTGGCAATTATTTCTGCACCTCCCTCCTACGGTCCTGTGTCAATCGTAAATAGCTAGTTTGTTTGATACAGGAGGAAGTAGTACAAAGTCCACTGTGGTTACGAGGGAAACCAACAAGACTCAATCTGAGGAGTTAGCAGCATTAACGAAGCAAATTGCCTCCTTGGAGAAGCGTGAAGCTCGGTTACGTTCTTGAAATCTCCGCTTTTCAATAGTTGTGTTTAATAACTTCGTTTCAGCAACTGCTAATGTTTTCGTGATATTATTTGTTTGATTGACCTGATGGAAACTGTTATCTCTGAGGACCTATTGGCGATAGATTAACAGGATCGGCATACCATACTTAAGCCAGTTGCTTGTCTCATTTAATTGTAGCTGATCTCGTTAATTATACCGTGTGGAGAATGCAGATATCGGCAGATCTTTGCGGACAAGATTTCACTTTTTAGGGAAGCATGCTATTTGCTATTTGGATATAAGGTGATGGCATCACCAACTGCACAAACTGACGCTCTTAACCATTCCCCAATTTCATAAGGACTCGAGACACGAAATCTTTGTCAACTACCGAATGTTAACATTATGAAAAGCTTACAAGGTACATTCGTTGCTGTATGCAATATTCGCAGGTGCAAATGCATGAGGAGAAAGACTCCTTAACACTGATGCCTGTGACAGTGTTCACACTACAATCCATTTATGCCGCAAGTGATGAAGACAAACTTCTTTTTCAGCTCAACCAAGGGCGGATGGATATGCTTGTAATCACCGAAACTCTTCTGTAGCAGTCTTAGCTTATTTTTGTAGTTTAGACAAACTACGCTTTGGTTTTTACGCTCTTGTAAATTACATTATTATATTTGTGATCACTACTTCCAGCGTGAAGTAGATAACGCCTCCCTTTCTCACATGATGAGGGCTCTCATCCTGATATTGCAGGCTACAGATTTCACAACTTCTCCCGAAATATCTCGTCAGGTTCTATTTCTGTTCAACCCAACCATCACAAAGATGCCGCTCTTACCTGTCGTTTATATTCTGTACAGTTTTGTTGAATTGCTTATTTATCAATCATATACAAAGAATCGAATAGTTGTTACTCTGCGCCTCATTCAGTTCAGAGCCTTACCAATTTGTCAATTTTCATACAACCAACTAATCTAAAATCTTTTATCTGGAGCCGTACATTGGTAAAGTTCATGGAGACTGTACCTTGAGTTATGCACCTTCCATAACCCAAACAAATATTCGTGTAGGCAGTTATCTAGCCCCTCAGTTTTTGCTTCTCAGTTTCCATAAAACATATGTACATCTATAAATAATTGTCGAAATTCGTATTAGTTGTATATTCATGTATTTGCACTTGCATCTGAGCAGGTTACTACTTTTCTGAAGAACTTCAAGTCTATCCCTGCGTTTATGGCCAATCTAACCATGGAGCTCTTCAACAGGACAACCTTGAGTTGATGTGCTGACACAATGCTCAATGTAAGGATATATACAAGTCTCTCAGTCATTATCCTTACTAAACCTGAATAGCCAGACTAATTACGTTGTTCTGGAATAGTACATACGTGGTTTGCATCGGATTGGGTAAAAAATTTTGCTGATTGATTTGTCCTATTGCTTCTCGTCTATCTGGCAATAGAACACTGAATATACTGTACTGAAGAACTGTAAGGATGGGTCTACATTTTGTCCCATATTCATTGGATAAGGAACCACAGCCATTTTTAGTAAAATATGGAGAAATGTATCAGTATGTCCGGTTTGAAGTGAAGGTGATTTGTGGGGGATTTCACCCATGGTCAAAGGGAAAAGAATTCAAAGCTGGTCAATGGAATAACGTGGCAATTTGCATGTCCGCATTCTCTGTGTGATGGTATTGTTTTCTAGCTCACTGCATGATAACATAAGAATTTGTGCATTCCTCCACGGAACAGTCTTTGTTCTTGTCTCTTTTCTGTTTGTTTGATCGTTTGTTTGTTTGTGTTTTATTATAATTATTTTTATTTTTACCACTTCGTCTTGTTCCTTCCTCCTTGCCCTGAACAGCCATATGTGTAAACACAGGTGATTAGCCAACTTGAGTTTTCTTCAAGGTGAATAGTAAAAACTAAGGCAATTGGGGATGTTGAAATAGGAGAGCAGGTGATTGGAAGTTTTTTTGAAGAATATAGAAGCCAAGAAGAGACCTCTAGTACAGAGATTTTGTGGGGAATAAATTTTTAGTAGAATAGGAAAAAGATAAAGCAAATGTATGTTTATTTATTTTGACATAAATCGTGGTAAGTCGTGCAATGGTTGTGATTTCACATCTACAACTTAATCAACCTTTCTTTTTGGTGCTATTTTGTATATTTGAATAGTTCTACATCAAATAGAACATTGTTTTTAGAAAATATTGATCGAGGATATGAAGAGTGAACCTAAAAATCATGAACTTTGATTGAAGCCATTTTTCTAAATTGTATTCTCCTGATTTTGATAAGAGAAAATTCCATTATGAATAAAGTATAATATAATAAAGGTAAATTTGAATTGTCATTGAAGGGAATTATTTCTATTTTTATGGAAGGATTAATATGGGATGTAAACAACTTTTTGATTCCTCGTTCATTCAATGGTACACTAGATTTTTCCTCAAATATATTCTCCAATACATTCTCTTCCTCCAAGGTCCTCTCATGTAAGATCCACTTTTTCTCTTCAAAATTTTATGAATTGAATATTTAGCTTTATTAACTGTGATGTGGAATATTGTCATTTGTTCATCTTATTCTATGTTGATGTTTTCAGCGGAGCACAAATTGTGTGGAATATTGTTTGATTTTACCTCCACAATTTACATCTGCAGTATTAGTGTCAATCCATTTTTGGTGATTGACCTGCAATTTATGTTATAAATGTTTAAAACATGCATTTTTATACACGAGTAATTTTACTAATAATTACCAAATAACTATACTAGAAATAATACAAATAAAATATATATTTCATTAGAGATATATTTAGGGGAATGTTATATAGACCCAAGTTTTTATTAAATCAATCAATAATGAAGGAAAAAGAAAAAAGAACCTCTAGATTCATTTCTTCACTATTGGATTTGTAACCAATAAAAACCAACAACATTCATCATAATCACCACATTCTTCATCAAGGATGGATCTATTTAATAAAAGCAATGAATCTATTTAGCATTGATGATTATTTTTCACAATAATGTAGACTCATAAAACCTGTATAAATACACATATACGCATACACACCGTCCATTCCAGATATCGTAGATACTTATCGAATTTAGATCCAGAATACTTAAGCCTCGGATGGAAGCGTCAACTATTTATATCCACTGACATCCTTCGCATGTCGCGCTGGCGCAAACCAGGGGGGTATCTCACCATGACGTTTCTATTTGTGGAATATCAACCCGGGTATCAATCTTCGGCGTGTGGCCCAGGATGTGGTAGACGGATCTGTCAGGCCACATAAGAACTGCGCCTTTCGCTTGCGCCTCTCCTTTCCGCAACGTGCTCTTGCTTCGTCGATACCCTGTCAAGAGTATCTCCGATCGAGTTTCGTAGTTTTACAGTCCTGCGCGAGCTACTGGCGTTGTGCTGTCTTCGGTGGTGAGGCTGCCGGCGTCAAGGGGATGAGATAAAGCAAGTGTATCGAGGCGATGTTTTCCTGGTGAGGTGAACTTCTTGGTGTTGACGCTGGAAAGAAATTTGTCGGATTCTCAAGGGTTTGAGTGCGTCCGCGGATGTGTTTGTACGTGCCTCTGTATGCGGCTCTTAGTTGACTTGAGCTGGACTCGATTGCGCTCTCTGCTGAAACCGCGATGATGGGACGCTGTGGTTTCGTTTGAGTGAAGAAATGTGTTGATAGCGAGAGGTTTGTTTAGGAATTGTAGTCTGCGCGTCGATTGGTGAGTGTCATAGTTTTCTTTACATGCGATTGAATTGCATTGTAGGAGATTTTTGATGCCGCACTGTAAGGTCTACATATACTGTATTTTATGACATTTTTATTGATTTATTTATTTATTTATTTTCCGCTGCCGCTTTTTCGCCTTGTCTTGGAATGTCTCATCTATGTCACCCGTTTTTGTAAGTCACGTGGTCGTAAACGACCACGAGGTCTCTCAATAACGTCCTAGTTCAAGTCTTCTCTGTTTGTTGTGCGCAATGTGATTGGAATCTCCTCATTTCTCGAATGTTCCTGATACGGAAAGTCAATTATGTTTTTGTTTATCCGTAGCTTGTGGTGTCTCTGGTAATTCATTAATAAAAATATAATGTTGAATTGGTCTATCTTTTGTTTCTTTAAGAACATAGTGAATTATGCTTCGCAATGTGCTATTTATTGTCTGTATTTTACACCTTAAGATGTGCTTATGCAATTTTTTTAATGTAAAATTGTGTATTTCGTATTGGATTTCCGAGTCGTAAGTATCGTACTCAAGTATGCTTGCTGTGCAGGAGAACATACGTATGCATCTTGGATCTTATCGTTGGGCACACCGGAGTTTAGGCTTTCTGAAATATTTCTTATTCCTGTTTCTGGGAATTAGGATCTAATGACGTTTGATAAGTTAGAGGATGCGAACGCGGACCCTTGCGTCCTCCATCCTTTTAAACGTAAGGCCGAAGGATATTGGCGTCAAGTGAAAGAGGAAATCAATGATAAAATTGTGGTCAACGTTGGAGGCACTTGTTTCGAAACCTCTCGCCAAACTTTGTGTCTCGATAGCAAATCAATGTTCTCTACCTGGCTATCTCGGCACCACACAAATAATTGCACGCTGTGGATCGATAGAGATGCGGAAAGATTTAGGCATGTTCTCAATTACCTTCGAAATGGAACAGTCTGGCTCAATGATATTCCCTCACTGCATGGCCTGCGTGAAGAGGCTGACTTCTTTGGCTTGGAAGGCTTGAAAAGCTTATGCGATGACTTAGTTCAGGATTTAGAAAAAAAAAAGGAAGAAAAGTCGAAGAAATGGTCTATCCAGCTTCGAGGCGCAATTCGCGACGTGCTAGAAGATTATCAGTTTCCTGCTGCCAATACTTGTAAAGATCAGATGCTTGGTGCACCAACCAGCAGATACAGATGGCGTATTGAACCTGTCTTCCAGACTGATCTCGACTTCTAGGTTGTAGTCCCTAAACAGCCATTTTCAAAGCAACAGCTTCTTAACTGTACACTACAGTCTGACAATGTAATTACCTTGAAAGACTGATCATATTACGTTGTAAATTATAAAATTCGATCAAATTAGAGGCGTCACCCTTGTTATTTGACTTCCTTACGCATTTGACTGGCTCTGTTGTGAGGCCATTTACGAGTGCTCTTGTTGATAATATTACTCACTGGATTATCATTTTACATTTTGCGTATGTCATTGTTCTACTTCCCTTGTTTCATGAAAGTCCTCGGAGTCTGTTAATCAGTTTAATTGATTGCAAGCCTCACGATGGCAAGCAAGACGTAATTCAAGGAAACATTCGAGACTCGTCTCATTGCAGAACTGCAACAATGACCTTCCAATGTCGGTCTGGAAGAAGCTCGGACCACGATAAAGGGCTGTGCGTTAAAGCTGCGGAGCGCTTCACCGAAGACAAGCCCCTTAGATCAGCCAACTCTTGCGAAGTTTCGGCATCACTGGAACTAGTTGGAGCCGGATCAAAAGAGTCTTCGTCTGCGAAACCCTAATTCCGAAACACATGGTCGCTGCACCCCACAAGCACAGGAAGCTCGTCGCTTGGGCGGCCATAGTTGATCCCCATCGCCTCTCTTTTCGTGTGCTAAATCCAGATAAACTTTAAAAATGATAGATCGATGTGGAATCTGACTACTTCGGCGTTGCTTGAGAGGTTACTGCTGCTCCTTGGAAGACTAATTCGATTCGAGGACAACAAGTGTTGAAAACTGCCATCTCCACTTGGCTGCAGATCCGGATCCGGCGACCGATTTCACGACCTCCTCTCAAAAAGTTTAATGGAGCGATGGTTATGTTTATGTAACATCTGCTTTTACAGTTTTAATAAAACTTTGTTACAATTTGTCATGTGGGAAGTTATGAGACTGTCTTTCATTTGTTTGATTTGAGTGACATTTTGATTTGCAACATTTTGACTTGAGTTCCATGCCTACTGATGTCAAAGTGCTACTTTCAGCAATCTACAACATGCAAATTTGATCTCTAATTGATCAAAAATTGAATTATTCCTTCACTTTTAATGAAAACAATGAGAGGTGCAGCCCATTGGAGATGGTTTGTCTTCTCTAGTTTACACAAAGTAAAAATACACACATGCAAAAAGGAATAAAAAACTTAAAGTATATTTGCAAATAAAATAGATATTATATACACATTGATGTAAAATTAACAAAAACATAAAATCAACTGCATAAATTCCATGGATTTAATTCAGGGTATATTTTAAACTTTTGTATGAAAAAAGCTAATTTTTTTATATTTTCTTCATAGGTATCACTGAATTTTTGTTAAATATAATTACGGGACTATATATATATATATATATATATATATATATATGTATATATAATCATAAATAGGTCTCTTTAAGAAATTGTTGGATTTTTTTCTAATTTAAGTTTAAAAAGAAGTTATAAATATTTGTGATCATTTTTTTAATAATAAAGCATATATATTTTATTGTTTTCATGTTCTAAAATTGCATCATTTACATTCCTAAAGATACATTTTTTTTCATAAATTGAATAAATATAGAAGTTCATCCCCACTTTTAAAAACAACTCATGAAATTATGATTAAGAAAACATTTTGAAACTTAAAAGAACAGATTTGACTGGCCAATATAATATATGCATGGCATTTGGAAATTTGCTTAAGTCTTTATTTTTTAAAGTATATAAAGCATAACATTAAAGTTTTATTTTCATAGAACTTCAAAACAGTTTTAATAAAGTCTTACAAAATCATAAAGTATTAGAACTCCACTCTTGATGATTTTAATATACTTATAAATCTTATTCATTTAGAATTGTCTTATGTCTTGCAATTGATGATGTCCAGAAGATATTAAACATATATATTTATTATTTATAAAAATTAATATCAATACATATATAGATTTTAATAAATAATAAATGAGTTCTTCTACACATTTGCCAATAGATGTTAAGTATGAGTTAAATTTTGCATCTAAATTTTAAGTTTAGTAATAAATGATGTTAAAAATCTTAGATATCTTAAATGGCAATTAATGTAATTGATGTGATATGTATAATATTTAGATTATAAAATTTTTAATAGATTTTTTTAAGGCATTTATAATATTTAAAATTCTTAAATATGCATACTTATAATAAAGAAAATTACAATATTTAACATCAAAGTAAGTTTGTAGATTTTTATTAAACTCGCATAATTAACCAAAATAAAAAATATTTATTATAAACTTAAATTAGGTCTATACAAGAGAAAAAAATATGAAAAATTATATATATTTATTGATTCATTTATAATAAAAGTTAAATAATATATAAATTATATATATTTTTAGAACTAATGCATAATTTTTTATATTTCAATGTATATTATATTAAACAAAAGAATAGTAATACAACTATTTTACCATTAACTATCTAAAATATTACTAAGATATTTCTTAATTATCTTTCTACTATTCTTTGTGTGATGATGACTTTAAAGAAAAAACTTTGTTAAAGTCATTGTTTATTAGTTCAATTGTTATAAAATTTTGTTTAAATCCAACTACTATATTATTTTGTAGATATTATAATAATACAAGAAATAAAAAAATAATTTTAATTAAATATCTTGATAAATTTTTTGATATTTTTATAATGGTATATAAAAATAAAAAAGAAACTATATATATATTCTTTGTAATAGTTTTTGCACTACGTATATGATATTTTTGATATTTTTTAAAATTATGATATTTATTTAATTATTTATTTATTTATTTTACTTCAAATGAATCAATGGACCATTCTTTCTTCATCTATCAAATACATAAAATTAAGTATAATATGTTTTTAGTCTATTTAATTATATTAAGATGAAATTACATCCTTATAATTATTTGTATACATTAAATATAACAATGCTATATTAAAAAATAATAATTTATTTGATCAATAATTTTTAAAATATGTATTTTAATAACTAATCTTTATTTGATATTTTAGATTTTTTTAAATATAAATTATATATTTTTTAATATTTTTATATTTATTATTTGTTTCTTAGTGGTGCAAATGTCAAATGTCTCTTTAAAATGTCAAAGTCATGAATTACAAAGAACCAAAGGGTTAATACATTCTTGTGTCACTATACAAGAGTAAATAATCACTCAAAGATTTTATAATATTAAGACTAGAATGGCTATTGCAAAAGACTACAAAATTAGAGACTCTTGAAATAAGACCAAAAATAAGAAAGTCGTTGATAAGAGTGATGAAGGCTCCACTCTTGTTTTTATATATAATATCTTATTAGGAGTTGTGTAACAACACTCTATAGGGTCTTTGATACATGTTTAACTTGCAAGAAAAGTTTCTTACATGTGCAATATAGGGCTAAGTTGTTGGCTAAGGTTTGAATCCACAAATCACCTATAAACATATATAAAGTTAAATCCACATTTATGAAACTTCTTCTTAAAATATTATCAAATTTACTTACTTTTATTTCTTTCTATTTAGTTCTTTTAATCTTAGTAAATATAAATATTGGTTATATCCATGACATTACCTCCTTTCCTAAGGACAAGTCTTATGAGGTGTGGTGATCACATATTATTTCTTTATTTTGATTTTAATGGATGTTTTTAATGAAAAAGCATCAATTTTATTTATTGCATTTGCAAGGTTTCTTATTGGCTCCCATGCACATTCACTTATATCACATCCATACCAATGTCTAAGATATTTTAAATCCTTTTGGTTTTGTCTTGAGTTTAAAATTTCTTCTATTTTAAACTTTTGATTATTGCTCACTTCTATAGGAGGAATTGATATTTAACTTCTTTTTAATTATATCCATTGTCTTGTATGGCTCAAGAATATATATATATATATATATATATATATATATATAGAATAGATCATTATATACTTTGTTAGGTATAATTGATATGCCATTGAATTGATCTATTCATAAATAAAAAATGGTCTTAATTTATTGTAATCTAACTTATTATTACAACAACTAGTCTTAATATTGCAATAAAGTAATCATTTCTTATTTTCAATAAAGAATTGAAATTATTTTTTGCAATAGGCATTTTCATTAATCTTTTGTTGTTTTTAAGCTTTTTTTAATTGTGCCTTCATTATTGCATGTGGCTTTGATGAAATATTTTTTAAAACTTTTGTTATAGGATTATTTATTTTTAAAAAGTAAAAAGTATTAAATTATGGATGATAATTATAATTAATAAAAAAAGATGTTTGTTAAGTAGAATAATGTAGTATTGTTATAGTAGAAAGAATTGCTTTAAGAAAGTAATAGGCCTTTAGCTGCTTTTAATTACTCAAAGAAGTTAGAAGATTATAAAATTCAAATATGATTTATAGCTTGTCTTCAAGAAGACATAGACATCAAATATACAAGTCTAAGATGCACAAGAGTACCTGAGATGTAACTAAATATCCTATTTTACTTATATTTTTGTAGGGATCTCTTTTATATATGTATCATTCAATAACTTCCAATCTAACCATATAGTTGGGTTCAAAATTCTCCACACAAAAATTCGTCCAAAATCTCAAGCTATGGCAAAAATCAAAACCTCCATTAAAAATAATTCCCTTATAAACTCCAATTTTGAACACTAACTTTCAATAGCTCTTTTTCTTTTGATCTAGACTGAAATATATTGATATTTTTAGATAAAATATAGTTTTTTAAGTCAAATTTCAAACCTCACTTCTTAATTCTTCAAAGCTTTCATATAACTCTCTATATGCCCAAAAATGTAGCAATAGATACCCAAATTATACCCTAACTTCAGACAAATATAATTCTCTCCTTATAATTCCAAATCACTGATTTTTTTCACCCAAATTCTAGTCCAAAATACAATTTTTTTGAATCCAACCTCCAAGCTTGAAATTGATCGCCTTGCCTCAAATGGTTTGCCTTGCCTCGAATGAGTCGCCCTAAAGTAGTTTCAAACTCTAGTATGGTCCAAGTTAACATCTCATAGCCCATTGGGCACGACTTCCAACTAATAGAATTGAAATCCTTTGTTACTTAAATTATCTATCCACATAGAATGTTCTAGAAG